AACATGGGAGCCCACAGACAGCTGTCAGCTGTTTTTTGGATGCAGCTTGATGACCAAAGACAACCGTTTGGCTTCTTTAACACGCAGGCCTATAACTCCTACATTAATCAAACAGAGTGAAGGCGTCAAAATATCTAGAAAAAGCACAGACTCGAATTTACAGAAAATAAGATTTTCTCTCAACAGGGATGTAGCATATGAAGGATCTGGCCATCATCTGAAGGCCAGACACAAACATTGGCTGTTCATTTTGGCAACCCCAAAGAATCCAATGTAGCAGTACTGTCCCAAACAGAAGTCCGAACAAAAAAAGAAATGTGTGTTTTCAAAAATGTTAATCCTCACTAAACACAAGATGGCCTCTGAGCCCCAAATATGTTTTTTCCTGTCATTAGCACAGGACCTCATGCAATGCCATACTTAAGAACCGAAGAAAGAGGCTAAGAAAATGAATGGGAAGTGAATGGTCACTCATACAAAAGGAGGCCAGCCTTGCGTCAACAGGAAGAAAAGCATTAGAGGCCCTTATGTGCATGGTGGTGGGTTTCCGCATGCTACACTGTCAGTGTACTTTCCTCCTTAATTAAAACAGTCACAAGTCTCATTGAGCGGTGAATCAAAGGGTGGTCACACCATAAAGCAAACTCAACTCTCTTGGTCTGTAAGCGTTTATGTATGTGTGCTCATGAGTGTGTGCCTGCAGGTTTGAAAATCAGACTTTCGCCCACACAGGGACCAGGATGAAGGGGATTTAGGCTGTGTCCCATCCCATTGTCAGTCACTCACAAGTGGCTATAACTGTAAAAATGGCAGCTAAGATTAAAATGATGATAAAAAACTGTTTAAGAAATCCATAATGTTGAACATGGGGAAGTATTATCTTTTGGTGTATTCGATTTTAATATTTAATAGGCAATGATTTTTCTCAACAATTTCTCAAAACAAGTTTTTCATTTAAGCATTTCCATAACTGAGTTGTATGAGTTAAATGAGTTAACTGAGCGACACTGAACAGGCCTTTCCAGCATTATTTAACACTCTCTCTCCGCAAAATAACAAAAATCAACAACAGCAGACTGAGACGGCCGGAATAAAAAATACTCAATCCACGTCAGTCAGTGGCTTTGTCATTTTTAGTCTCTGGATCAATGGAGGACCCCAAACCCAACAGCGCAGTGACCAACACATTTCACACGACTTCATTACTGTGTATCTACTCCCCCCATGATAAAAACATTATCATGCAACATTATTTTTCTGACTCCTCAACAGAAGACAAACCCTCTGGGTTTGTTCATGTGGAGTGGGATTCCCCTCTTGTGTTCTCTGCAGCAGTCAGTCAAAACGAACAAAGAGCATGAATTATGCAGATAGGATACATAATAGCAGAAATTGCTAATCATAGCTCAGGAAACTTGAGAGGGCTGGACCAGCAGAGTGATTGACAAGGACGTTGAGAAAAGACAACATAGGACCGGGTAACTTCCAGAATCATCTCCAAGGACAGAGTATGGTTGGACCTGGCATAGACGTTGAAGACAGATGGGTTTCGAAGGCAATAGTACATATTTTATGACAGTTGTTATTGTTTGGGTGAATGGAGAATCAATTTCAGGACATTGTGTCAAAACAGATTTTTTTAACATCTCTCCCTAAACAAATAAATTATCTAAAGGTAAAATATTTGGCTGAAATACATTGTTTTGCTGGTAGCATGAAAACATTTTAGTGAAGACTTTGGTAACAGCAATAGGACTGTTATTTGACAACACTGACATTCCCAAAGAGAGAGAGAGTTTACATTCCCAACTCCGGGACTTGGTCAGAGAACAGTTTGTCCAAACATAGAATCACATTCTAAGTTCCTAGCTTTGATAATGATAAATTAAGAAAATGAGTACTTAATTTGAGTTGCATTTCATGAAAGGAACATGTGAGCACGGGGATCACACACCAGCATATTCAGCTCTGTGATCCAAAAAATATCAAAAATATGTATTCATATTCTAAATGCATTTTTAGATCCATTGGAACAGCAGAGGAAACAATAACCAGAGGAGGCAGAGGTCAATAAATGTTCCATGTGTTAATTTACTAACAAATTCACTAAGGGGTTATGTCACAAGTTATGGCTACTGCCCCCTAATGGCTGATTAAATTACCATTTCCATCCCTCCATTTTCTATAGCGGGGTATCTCAAGTAGGGTTGCTGTCATTAGTAATTAGATTTTTTGAGATAAACAAATTGTTTACAGCATTTCATTAAATGAACAGTTATGCTTTATTCTTAACATTTTAATTGCAGCTTTTTATCAGTTTGTTATTTGAGAGTTCATTACTTTTTTCATGAAATCAAGAAATGTGCCCATTAAGTATTATCTAGAACCATAACCAGAGGCAGACAACATCCAGGAAATCCGTTAACTAAAATACATAAACATTATGTTATGTACTGGCAGAAACAGAAAATGGGTCTCTCTTGCAGTGAGCATTTTGTGGCGTTTGTTCCCAGTTCTCTGTCACAATGATGGAGGGTCTGTTTGACAGGTTCTGTGATTTCCCTGACCCCATTGTATTCAAACAACACAGGCTCCTCACACAGGAAGAGCTGAGGAAACAATGGTACAGGTGAGTCTGGGAGAATTTCCCCTGAAGGGCTCTCCACCTGACAGTTAAAAAGGTGTGCGAGTGTGTTTGTGTGCCCCATGCTTTTGCTCACAACAAACCATAAGAAGCTACATTTTCAGATGTCTTTAAATCAGTTCAACTTATTTAAATTATTATTTTGTATTTATTTATAGACTGTTAAAGCTGCTGTGTGATGGTCCTTGAGAGAAAGGGCTCTATACCATTCAGGATTGTATGTAAATTCAAATGCACGTTACACTCAGCTCTGAATGTGTTGACCTGCACCTTTTACAATGTGTTCTCCTTTAACAATCCTTTTAGTCCCAGAGACATTTTGAGGCGAGAGGTCACCATAACCATGGGATGAAGAGTAAAGGCATGGCTGCAGAACCTCTTTGGAATAATGCAAATATGAACTGTACACAGTTGTATTCCAACAAGCGCACATGAGCAAAAAAAACAAAAATTAAATGTGTCACTATAGCTCTGAGATCTTTGAGGGTCTACTGCCCTCTGCAGGACTCTTCTAAAACATTCTGATTAAACACCAGCGTCTTTATTTAAGACTAAATGTAGCACTCAAGTTTCTTCCTGCTCTTGATATTAACCCTCTGTGTCAGTAGAAGGAGCTAATTTATCATCCAGCTTTAATTGGTCATTTATATCATTTGGATATATTTTAAAATCCATCCTTTCTCTCGTTTATATCGCTCAAGTTTTAATTTCGTTTAGATTTTAATCAGTTAAAAGTCATGTCACATGATCATGTTGATTATAACATTTCATGCAACATAGTATAGTGTTGTTTTTGGAAAAAATAATCATGTAACCAATATATTTACAATATCCCAATGGAACAACACCCAGCATTTATGTGGTAAACTTTGATTCAGCATCCAAATTACTGACTGTTGAAGTTTTACAGAGCATATATTTAAGTTAGGAGAGACATGAACAGAGCCAGAAATGTTCTGCAGCACAGGGTGGGTTTCCTGTTTTCTTAGCTCTCCCCTTCCCTCCCCTTCCTTTCCCTTACACAGTACAAGTGGAGGCTTTGAATCATAAGAGCATGCTGTGTGCACTTGTACTCTGTCTAAATGTCATGGTCAAAGCCAGTGCCACCTTTCAAGCAAGGAGTGCCAAAAATAAGGTACAAAGCAAGTTATCAAAAATGAGTTCAATCTGAACAAAATCATTTGCACTGACGTGCCACAGAGCTCACAAACATCAAACACACTGCCTTGTTGTCTGCTTTTTTAGCTCTGTAACAATGATTTCTGCTATTTTGTTTACAACTTCAACTGTGCCAGGTATCATGTCCCGTCCTGCTTTTGACACGCTGTTCAATAACATCTCTGCATCAGGCCATGACTGTGCTAAACAACGCTGGATTCCTTGGGGAAACCTGAGAGCTGGCTTCCTTGGCAGCTAGTCATTAATACCCTTTTTCTTTTTTGCTGTAATACTGTGGACATAACATCAATGGGATGGTCCGCCTGACCAACAGCTGTTAATCCCAAAGTGCTTTCTCACAGAGGCTGGGCTGTGATGTGAAACAGAGAAAAGAATGCAGGCCTGAATGGGCTCCCTGTTTCAGTCTTATTCGCATTCAGCCTTTTGGGGATCCCTGGCGAAAGCATGCATTTAGATGTTGAGCTAAACTGAGACAGAGTTAACTGCTCCAAAACAGCCCTCAACCTCCTATCCTATTCCTACATCCTATCAGGCTCTGTGCACCAGAATTGCTTTGATGATACATTTTATATGAAAACGATATATATGAATGGAGATTTGTTAAAATAATGAACAAACAGAGAGTTGGTTTTCATTTAACCAATTCTTTGAATGAAGCAATCAGGGGGTTAAAAAATATTCTAGCTATTCCCCTGTTTTGATTGTGTTCATTGTCATCTATGATACATTATCGATAGTTATAGCTCATGAAAAGCTACAGATTTGGATCAACTTTGCATTTCCTGAACCCTTTTTAGAGTGGATGGATGGATGGCATTATGAATTCAGGATATTGTATTACCACTGCATTAGTGGGTGTCTTGGCATACTGTATTGATGGGGCTACTATTTCTAGAAGTGTGTTTGGAGACATGCTGTGAATTCAGTGATAAAATCATCCCCATTCCTTTATGCAGTTTGACCAGAGGACCAATGACCATGTGATCGGCCCTCCTTCGGTGACATTTTGTACAACACACGATGGATTGGTCAAAGTCTAATACATTTTACATAACTGACACTAGATACAAATGTTTTGGAGCGATGAACACTGTTCTTTTTTACATTTCTTCTGAGGATCTAAGTTACTCTTTTTGTCTTTTCCATCCATTCTCCACTGAACTGTTGATGTTTGTCCCCATTAGGCGCATATCATTAGGTGCCTCACTTTTAACATATAAGATTGCTTTCTGATTGAACTCACATTATGCACAGAATCAAATTCTTTATTTAGAATTGAATCAGTAGAAAAACAGATGCTTGAACTCCATTTCTACATTCAAAACAATCGCAGAAGAAAGAAAACGCATCATAGACTGAAAATTATTTTACAACAAGGGAACCAATTTAATGAAAGCCTCAATAGAATGTTCACGTCTGTGGGCCACAGTTGTGTAACTTTTAAATAAACTCCCCCTCAGAAAGAATCAACATAATGTGAAAGAGAAAGGAAAAGAAAGCATAAGCAAGCAAGAATCTTTTATAGTATATCACTAAGAAATTCCATTTCAATGAGTCATTTCTTTTGAGGTGATACTCCATCCAAAACCCATTTACACCATGCTCTGGCTTTCTTAATTTCAGAGTACTTGTTTGAACTTGAATGTCACAAAAACATATAATGCCACGATAAAGATGAAAAAAAATTCAAACCACCAAATGTAGTGCATTCACTTAAATGCAGCTTGAACAGGGCTTTAAGAGAGACTTTGAAATGGGTGGCAGCCTGAGAGAAAAGCAGTATTTATTTGGGCAGAATGAACCCAGTGAATATAAATGAGCGTGAGGATTTTCTTTTGGATGGAGATGTGGACTTTGACAATGTTCAGAATTGGATGGCAAGAAGAAAGAATTCCAAAAAGTCATGACAAAAAAGCAGGAAGTGAAAATGTGGTTAAAAAAAGAAAACAAAAAACAGGAAGAACACTATATCAGCCAGATGTTGGAGGAAAAGTGTTAAAGTATTATAACATTTTGATGGCATTAAGAAATCTTCAAGTCTTAAAAAGCTACTTAAAACGGACTTCCTTTAGAGTCTTATACTGAGGCAGACTTTGGCAAAACGCAAGATTCAATTTGGATATGAAATTCAAAGACAGCTTTGCTGAATTTTTTGTGTAGATTTAACAGTGAATCTGGACAATTCTGTACCCTATCTATATATTCCTACTTTGAAAGAAATGGTAGTAAAAGCCCACTAATATTTGAATTTCTAATGCAAATTCCTTTCCATGAGGAGCATGGATGTTTCACTTGGGCCTCAGTAAAGCTGAGCACAATGCTGCCATTGAATCAGAGTCACAGTGGTTACCTTTATATGCCATCAATGCAGCACCACCTGGGTTTCTGCTAACGATATAGCCACATACATACATGCAAACTGTCTATGTAACTTCTCACCAAAAGATACAACATATATCTTAAAGGGTATATTCTATGACTTTTAATTGTCTATTGAATAAAATAAACTCCTTGAATACTTTATCCATACATATACTTGTCCGATATCAAACCGAAGCGGAGATGATTTTAATAGAAGCCCCATCTGTTTCTTACTATCAAAACTGACAGTTTAGTATGACAGCAAAGTGAAACACTTTACAATAATGGCAGCAGAAAGCTATTAAATAAAGCAACACTGGAATGCTTAAGACATATTTGAGGTAAGGCATATTTCTTCTATTTCATAGAAAATTGTGAGAATTATCTACGACACATTTCTCAGTATGTGTGTTCCATTGTAAGGCTTAAAATAGCATTTATTCATATAATAAAAGGATTTGTATTTATGTACGCAGCATGCACCTGCGTACATAGTTATTAACACAAATCATTAAAAAAAAAGTTTAAATCCCATGTTCACTTTACCTGAGTAAAATTTATGAAACTCTGTCAAAGCACATCAGGTCGAGGCTAATGAGATTCTACCAGCGGGTGTGTAACAAATGATTACCGGCAATTTCCCTTACTTCATACAATTACAAACACATTACGCACACATTAGTATTACTCCATAGTGTTTCCCTGAAAATCCTACCACAACCATCTACGAGTAAAATCTTAAAATCCATATCAATTGCTTACAATCCTTGATGGATCTGGACATAAAGCTCACAAGACGAGTTATCAACGAAAGCAATTTGCTGCTAAACTCTTTATAAAGTAGCCATTCACTGTTAAAAAGAGGCACATTATTGGTGATTCTGACTAATAATGTGACCAAAAGTTTGTGTTGATAGAAAATATTGTGTTTTGTGTGACAGTCTTGCTTGTTAGATTTGGTTTCTGCAGCACTGGCTCCTTCTTGTTCAGATCTGTTGCATTTCTCTTTTATCAATTAAATTGTTTATGTTCAAGCAAACTTATGGACTTATTGATCAGTGTATTCTCATCATCCACAAATTTGTACCCAAACAGCTTCATGGTGGGTCCACACACTTTCTGCACCACCTGAGCCAGTGTAAAGGGAATACTAAATCTCCATTTTTCTGCCTGTTCTGATGAATTCTTCTGGGTGGAATAAATCCCACTGGCTACCTGTGTGGTCTGTGTGTTCTTCAGAATCCACTCCCGGGCTTGGGAGCTAAATGGTATTCCTGTGAACTTATACATTTCTTCTGCTTTCTGCATAGGGTATCGAGCGATATCCTCATAACGCACCAACATGTAGCGCTTCCTCAGCCAGTGGGGCTGGCTCAGTCCCACCTCGGCAGACATCCTCACGTGATCACAGTTTCCTTTGAGCCTCTTCACCTCCTCGTCGTCTTCAGGGACCTGGCCGTCCTGCGCCCAGGCCTTCCATGTCTGATATTTGGAGGAAAAAGCCACCATGCGCGATGCCAAGATCGCTCGTGGATCTCGAACCAGCTGTATGATTTTGACATCGAGGCGGGGGTCCTGCACCAGGGGCTGCAACGTGTCCAGCTGTCGTACGCGGACCGTCTTGATAGCATACTGTTGTTTGGAAAGGCAGGATTCAGATGCGAGGGTCAAGTTCAGGGGCCCACAGCGACGAGTCTTACAATGATACCTATGATGAAAATGTATGTTTATCATTCATATATATTTTAGACAGCTTCAATGCATAAAAAAAAATTCTTCTACAGACATGAGCCTTTCAACCACTGGGGTTTTAACCAAATAATTACTGCTATTATCAATTAATTAAAAAATGCATGAAATCAATCAAACACTGGTTGTATAAATAAAACTAAATTCGTATTTTACTGTAAATTAGCTGTTGTTTTTCTCTTTACTTTTAAAAACACTGAAAGCTTTATCAAAACCAGCCAGCACATAGACGATATACATTACCTCTCAAACACGTCTTTGATTACAGGAGTACAAACAGGCTCTTCACACAGGGACAAACTAGACTCTCTGCGGAAAAGATCAGGGGTGACGTGGTCTTGAGGTGGGGGAGAGATGAACTTTTCAAGAGGAGAAAAATCACACAGGAAGAGTGCCTGGAGAACGTCTCGATAGATCCCTGCCAACACTGTCCCATTGTTTGCCTCAGTGGCCGTGGCTAGCATTCGCTCGACATGCCACAACGGTTCAAACAGGTAGAACATGCTCTCCCCATGCTGGTTGAAAAACTCCCCCACAAATGAAGATCCTGTTCGCGTGGTGGCCATCAGTAATACCTGCTTACGACCACCTCTATAAAAACCTAAATCATCAGGCTCTTCCTCTTCTTGCTCCTCGGACAAATTTGTGTAATTCCCTTCAGTAACGGAGAGTTTAGAGAGCAACACCTTGAGTACCATTAGAGGGCTGTTCTCGGTTGTGTTGCCATACTCTTGAATGGTCTGCGGTGTCTGCTGTGGAGTCTGCCTCTTGATCAGCTTATCGGAGACCCTGGTGATGTATAGAGATTATCTCTTAGCAACACATGAAACAACATAAAATACATACATCAGTCCTTTGTTTTATATCCATGGGGTGCAGCTTTACAGAAAGAATGAACATGTTTTAGGCACTTTCTGATGATATATATACATACAGCCTTAAAATCTTGTTAGTGTGGTATGCCGGTATGCAGACCTTCTGTGTCCTTGCCGTACACTATGACCCTTAAAGGGGGTAGATTCTCGTGAAAAGACACTTAGTTCTGTCTTTTCTAGAAACATATGTACGCATTCCTTTAAATTCTGCAAAATGTTATTTGAGATCTTAAAAGATTTTTTGAAGACAGTAGATGTAGATGCAAGAGAAACCTGAAACAACTCATAAGGATCTATTCTTAATTACAACTCTTTCATGCCTAAACACAAGTATTTTTCAGTCATTTCCCAGAAACATAGGGAAGTTTCTAAGACCTCCAATTAAATTGTATCCCAACATGCATCCTCAGAGGCCACGTCTCAGGGCTTTTGCTCTATGACATCTTAATAGTTTGGGTTAGGGTTACCTTCTTTACTGTCCAAAGTAATTAACAAGCTTTTTATTTAAACATTAAGACATTGTGTCTGCTTGTGAAAAAGGCAGTAATATGTATCCATTATAAACATCCATCATACATAATACTGCCTCATTTTCAATGGAAAATCTTTCTGTATCTTTGGTGAGTATGTGCTTTCAGGGGATTAGCATGGAATAAAACTAATGATAATCTAGATGCAACATGATCCTTCTGTTCATAGTTAATTATATGGTGTACATGCACGTGCACCATATTTGGAAAGCTAAAAATGGTTCTCTCTTTTGAAAAGTCTGAAAACTGTTGGTCATCATTAATCCAGGTAATGACAACAGGCTGTTTGCTGACTTTCATCTAAAATTCAAATGGAAAAAACAAAATAGAGGAAATTGTGACAAACAGAAGAAATCAGTATGCATTCTCATACTGTGTTCTTTAGTGACATTTAAGTGGAGACATGCTCTTACCTTGAGAGGATGTTGCTTTCTTTTTCAATGATGACCAGGGCCACAATACAGATGAAGACGATGGCATACTTGGTCTTCATTCTTGAGTTGGCTGTCAACATGGAGGTCTACAGTCTAATCTTTGTGTTTGTCATAGCTTTTCATGCAGGGGCTTCATGCAAGTCTTCATTCTGAAAAAGAACAGTACTTACTTTTAATCACTGTAAAACACTGACATACTGGCAAATTGGGTGTACTTCCAAACATTTGCTGGACGGAAATGTACTTTATTTGTAATAACGTTTATGTGACTACACACACAAGAAACAATGTACAATTTTAGTTGCATTTATCAGAAACCTTACAATGTTTTGCAGATTGAACATGAACAGAAGCCTTTTCAAATTTGATTGCGTCAGTGTGTACAGGAGTGGGAAACGAATGAGTTAAGGTGAGACCTGTAGAGCTGCGTGACTTAATAACTCCCACTCTGCACTTCCAAATAATTGGGAAACGGAGCCTTAAAAGTTGCACAATCTTACTGAACTAAGTCCCCTTAACATCACATCTTATCATCACATTCTGTCTGTGCTTGTCGCAAAAGGAGATGCTGGTGCTCAGAACAAGAGCCAACAAGATGCCGACCAAGCAGCTGGGAAATAACACCCCCATCTTCTGTACTGCGACGCCCAGCTGGGTGAAGAGGCTATTCAGGCCACCTTAACTTCAAACTGAGACATATCAGTTAGGGAGGCCGTGCCTTCGACAAAAATCTATGGAAAATGTATGCTCATTCTATTTGGTCCTGTCAACGGAGTGAATCATTTCTACGAGGCAAATCAAAGAAGATCCCATTTTCAAGTGGTTCAGCAATAACTGTGTGCTCAATGAGTAAATATCACCAAATTACCTAAGCTTAATTTACCTCAGGCAGCAAACTGTCAAGCTGAAGGGGGTTTGAGCTGAGCTGCGTTACATATTCAAGAGCCACTGGAGCGTTTGGCAAATCTTAATATCTTCTCATGCAGAAACACGGATCACGCTGTTTATCATCTCACTACAAATTCCACTAATGGCAGCCTTCAGAGCACTGAAGCAGCCCCTCATGGGGACATTAAAAGCCAAATTCACCCTCAATGTTGCCCGTCCTCTGGGGTTGTACACAATTAGCTGCTTTTGGCAAATATCGACAACCATGATCATTTTATTGGTGCTGTAAACTGATTTTGCTTTGGATGTAATTGTGTTAATGGGTACTACTGACCCCCCTCCCTGTGTGAGACGCTATATGTTTGCGTCTGTGGTTTCATTTAAAAGGCTAGCAGTCATTTAGGGGGAGGGGGAACCCCATTCACTATCATTTCCACAACACCAACCAGTGTAAAACCAGACTAATGACTTCTTCTGCGAAGCATCGATTTAGTGCGAAAAAAACGAGGGCTCGGTGCCCGGATAGGTCTGGAATTAAATATGGAAAACGCATTTATGTGAAACTCACATTTGTAACGGGGACAATTATGTGGTTTACCACACGACATACAGCCTCCATGTTTCCACGACCATTATCACGCTTTCATCATTTAACGCATCTTATTGGCAAACAAATCACAAATGAGCGCTTTGACAGGAGTGGAAACACTCAAAGACAGTATCATCATTCATCGTTTACGGCGTTTTTACGACGATTCGACGTGCTCGGCGCGTGCCGGTCGCCCCGCGCGCCGCGTTTCGAAGTCGTCCTCTGTCGCACAGATGGAAGTGAGATGATGTTTGAGGTCGCGTTTCGTACAAACCTTCCGTTTTTCCTCTCGGTACAGTCGAGCGAGACGTCCCTGGCCGCGTGAGGAATGCCGTCTCCTGGAAGCATCTCAGCGCGTGGTCGGGGGCTCGCGCACACTGCCTCATTGTGTCCTCAGACGCGGGCTCCTCTCCTCAGTCGGATGCAGCGTTCTCAGAAAAAAGATCGACTGAGTCTTCCTGCAGCGCTCGGATGACAGGAGCACCGAGCGGGTCTACAATACAAACCTGTTTTTTTTTTGGTTCTTTTCTTTGGGGCGCTTGCATGTGTGTGTTGGTGGAGGTTTTATTTGCGAGACTTTCCCCCACAAGGCATGTACAGCCTTGCCCGCGCGGAGCTTTCGTTCTTCGGAACTCTCCACTGTCTTTTGGGACATCCTGTGCTGGCAGGGTCACGTGACACCAGAGCCTGAGATTTGGTGAACACACACATCTCCTCTGACATTAGGAGATGAAGCCAAAAAGTGTCCATCGTCATCATGATCTTCTACTACAAATGAAAAGTTATTTCTGTATTGAAGAAAAAAAAAGACAGTTTAGAGTAATTTGCAAATGGACTTTTAGGCCATATGACAATAGTACAATTCAAATCAGTTTTGTTTCCTAAATTAACTTCAAATTAAAAGTGAAATATACAGTTAAAGCCAAGTACAATCCCACTAATTGTAATACAAACATAATTTAATTAAATTAATGACCTGAGCATGCACATGGTGACTGTGGAAAACAATATGGAAAATTATATACATATCTATATCTATATATCTATATCTATATATATCTTAAAAGACATAGGGATTAAAAGATATGCAAATGACGGCTTTCATTGTCTATTTTATTTCAAGCTGCATGCTACTATTACATAACACATAAGAAACAGCTATAGTTTGATTTCCCATGTGCAATTTCAGTACTCATGATGTTTTATGGCTGGCATATGGTTCGACTCCTCCTGTAAAGTTAGCCATGATTGCTGTTGTCAAGCGGCATTCTTATCTGTCAGCCTATCATTACTGCAGTCACTGTTTGATTTTGAAGCACAGTTATGACCTGCTTGAACCAGAACTGCTCAAAAGAACAACAAAACCAACAACTGTTCTGGAATAGTGATGCCAAATAAAGTTTACTGTATTGTTTTTCGTGCCCTCACATATGATGTCATTAATTCAGATTATAAGCCACAAGTGTTATTAAAGTACAGATGAACATGTGTTGAAGTGATCCCTCATCCCTAGAGACCACTGCCAGCCTGTTATAAACAATTCTCTGGTCACCAGATTGAGATTTAAAGTCTCCCAGTGCAAGAGAAAAATACTTTCTTTTTTCCTCTATATCTCTTGATACAGGGAGGAGTTGATCCTGATCCTGTCATGAAAACATGATGTTTGGAAAAGGCAGTGGAGGGAATTCATAAGAATTTCAGGAAAAATGGGAGTGCCATGACACTTGAACTATAACTTTGATGTGGATCTGCATCCCAAGATTTAAAGATGTACAATAATTACTGTGCAAAATGTACTTTAGGTAATTTATCTCTTAAAAACACAGCCTGTATCTGGAAATACGTGCTTTGGTATCATATAATTTAGATTACTATTTTAAGGCAAATGTTTTGATGATGTTGTCACTCTAACCTGCTTTTACTCAAATTAATCAACATAAATAAAAGTTCAAATTAGCATGAAAAGAAACTTTGAATGTTATTGCCATAAAAAATGAGGGCTTAAACAGTTAAATTTTCCCGGGTGTAGGTCTCTTTACTTGCAGTTGAGTGAATTTGACCAGCTGGAACTGGCTGCTACTTACAGATCAATTAATTCAGATTAGGATCTATTCTGATTTGGCCAACACAAGTCTAGTGACCCAGTAACATCGATACAAAAATTGTTTTGAGTGGAGGAACTAGTGAGTAAAAGCATCCTTCCCTCACACAGAGAGTACACCATTAGTATATTACCACTTGAGGGCAGCATTGTTAAGGATGAGTGCTGTTGTACTGTGGTAAGATGTACAAATCTATCTATCTATCTATCTATCTATCTATCTATCTATCTATCTAT